GCCTGCCTCTGTCCGTGGTCCTGAGCGCTTTTTTCTTGGGTGGATTTAGTGGATTGTGTCCCGGCTTCGCTGGACTCAGGACCTGACGGGGAGCGGAACCATGAGAACCAGGCGGGCTGGCACCGGAGAACCCCGGATCTGAMACCCCCCTTCCCCTTCTCCTTCTCCCCCCCTTAAAATCCCCTTCTGCTCACCTTGGAGGTCATAAACCCAAACCACAGCCCCTCCCTCCCCCCCTCTCATCCTCCTCTCCACCTCTGAGGGATTTTCTTTTCTTAAAGGGGGGATTCGTCCTCAGGAGAGCGTGACACCCCCCCCCACCTTTTTTTTCCCTGGAACGTCCTTTCACCCCCCCACACACACCCCACCACCACCCCTCTAACGAAATGAGACTGGCCAAAATGTGCCGACTAAACGCACTGGGGATCTATTTGTGGGAAACTGTGGTGTTTTTCAGGTAAGCAGAGGCATGAAATTGACTTCATGGCTGCAAATGTTTGGGGATTTAATCAGAAAACGAAACAAACAAGAAAAATCACAAATGAAATTAGCATTTTTATTGCTTTACTGCCATTTGGGACATGCATGGAAATTAGCGCTGCTAAAAGTCTTGGAGTGGTGGTGGTGGTGGGGGGGGACTTGGTAAAGTTGCCTGTAGGTCTGTGAGTTATGGCTCATAAAGTGTTCAGGAATCAAAGCCCAGAGAGGGAAGAACTGCGACCACTAGTGGGTCTGGAGCCTTCCAGAGGGGCTCAGAATTCAAAAACACTTCATTTTCTAATTAAAGCCGATCATCCAATCAATCCGTTCTCTCTCCAGAAATCCTCATTTGTCCCATTGAGATAACCAGTAATTGAAAGGTTTTTTTTTGTCGTATTCATTATCAGCGGTAATTTAAAGGATTAACAGAAATTCAGTCAGAGAGAAGCTTCAGTCAGAGTGTGGAGAGAATCTTAAAACGTTTTTTAAGAAACGTTCAGAAGCTTCGAGCACAAGTTCTGCGAGGTTCCTAAAGGGTTTCTAAACGGTTCCTAATGGGTTCCTAAAGGGTTCCTAACGACTTTCTAAATGGTTCCTAAAGGGCCCCTAAAGGGTTCCTAAAGGCTTCCTAAAGTGTTGCTAGAGTTTATAAAGGGTTCCTAAAGGGTTCCTAAAGAGTTTATAAAGGGTTCCTAAAGGCTTCCTAAAGTGTTGCTAGAGTTTATAAAGGGTTCCTAAAGGGTTCCTAAAGAGTTTATAAAGGGTTCCTAAAGGCTTCCTAAAGTGTTGCTAGAGTTTATAAAGGGTTCCTAAAGGGTTCCTAAAGAGTTTATAAAGGGTTCCTAAAGGCTTCCTAAAGTGTTGCTAGAGTTTATAAAGGGTTCCTAAAGGGTTCCTAAAGAGTTTATAAAGGGTTCCTAAAGGCTTCCTAAAGTGTTGCTAGAGTTTATAAAGGGTTCCTAAAGGGTTCCTAAAGAGTTTATAAAGGGTTCCTAAAGGCTTCCTAAAGTGTTGCTAGAGTTTATAAAGGGTTCCTAAAGGGTTCCTAAAGAGTTTATAAAGGGTTCCTAAAGGCTTCCTAAAGTGTTGCTAGAGTTTATAAAGGGTTCCTAAAGGGTTCCTAAAGAGTTTATAAAGGGTTCCTAAAGAC